TTATTTCTTTGTTTAATGTTATAGATAAATCTAATATATTATAGATTACAAATATTTTGTTGTTGGAGATGAACAAAAGTTGAGATGGCCGAGTTGGTCTAAGGCGCCAGATTAAGGTTCTGGTCCGAAAGGGCGTGGGTTCAAATCCCACTCTCAACATTTGTTAATTTTTTTTTACCGAGGTTCATTTACTCGGATTCGGGTGTGCGTGTTAGATAAGAGTATATGTATATATTCAAATACAATGTTTATAGAGGCTCCTTCATTCTTGAAGCATTTGAGACGAACAATGAAATTCGATGCCTTGGTTTTGTTTAGGGTGAAAAAAAAAACTAAAAACGAGTGCGTAACTCGTTTGATGTAACAGGGACAATGATGGAAGTTGTTGGAAATGGAATACCAACAGGAGACAAACTTGTATTGAGGGGCTTGATATTTCATGGTTTCCATGGGGGTAAACCCTTAAGAAAAAAACACCGGAGCAGAAGTTCTTGATCGTGTAGATGCCTGGATGGATCTTCGGAGAGGCAGTAATTCTGATGACTTGTCCGATACCATTCATGTATGTATGTATGTATGTATGTATGTATGTATGAATGTACCAGCCTTTGAAAAGTAACATTCCGGTGGTAACAGATCAACTTCATCAATGCCTGGTATAGTATGGCCTGAATCTCAGGTTCCACGACCACTAGAATTACGAATGTCATGTTTTCGTATAATGATTTGTGCCGGTTTTTAGTTGTTTTCCATGTGTGCTGTGCAATCAGCAATGGAATGTGTCCATGTTGCCTACTCCATCAATTGGTCTCATTAATATTAATTAAAGCTTATTCTTATTATACCTTATGAAGTCATTTTAAGAAACTATTTACTTCCTAGTCTTTTAAAAATTTATATGCAGATTAATTCTATATCCTCCGAATACGAGCTCTCAAATCAACTATAATAGAAAAACAAGACCTCTTGTAAAGAGGTCTAGTAAATCAAATCAATTCATTAAAGTAAGATCCAAGATTTGACGATCAAATCTATTAAGTTTGTCAATCTACAAATAGTTATGATAATCATATATTAGACATCATCAAACAAAGTCATTATAAATCCCTTTCAATCATATGAAAATAGAAAGTCTTCTTTTTTTTTCTTCATATTCTTTATCTACATTCAATTTTTTTCTTCATCATCTTTATTATAAAAATCACCGATCAATGATTGTTTTTTCGTTGATCATGATTTTTCGCCAAAATCAGAAGAATTAAATCATCAATTATCAATAAAATTAAATTATTTTCATTAATAATTCAACTTTTATATTTTATTAATAACTTTATCAGAAGAGACAATAAAATTAAATCATATACATATATTTCTTATAAACATATAAATTTGACATTATTGTAATATAATATGTGTAATTAATTAAAATTAATTATATAACTGAAAGCTAAAAGAACACAATTTAAATTCAGTATTTTAGATTATCATTACACTTTGATTTCAATTTCCTTAATCAAACGCGAGTTTGAATGAAGATACTTATGGATAAAATAAATACTTAATTAGATCTGTCCTAACAAGTCTTTAGTTTGAAGTCTGAAGAGTTTAATGTTTTTCTTTATTGATGTGGGCCCTTCTTGTCCTAAAAAAACCAGTTGACACAACCTGTTGTAAAGTTCCAGAACCAAAAAATGAGAGCAAAAAGCTGTAATAATTTATAATTTATTGGTGATTTTGATGAGTGTCGTGTGCTCATTAAACTCAATAAGAAAACCCCATGTTTATTTTGTGTTAGGGGGGGGGTTCAAATCAATGAAGTTCTCATGGGATCTGCGGCATTTTCGTTCTGGGTTGCTGGGTGTTTCAATTTTCTGATTCTGGGTTCTTCCTAGGATTTTCATTGCAGAACAAAAAATTTTTGTTTTGATTTCCATTGTGCTTCTTGTAAGTTAAACTTCTTTGCTTGCTTGCTTTTATTTCAACAGTTTATGTTTATTTGTTTTCCTTCCAATTTCGTTAAAGACATGAATGTTTTGGATTAGGAGTTAGCTAATTGTTTAGTTCATTGTATTATAATGGAAGAGTTTTAATGGCTCTGGTTCTTGTTTTATAGTGTTCCCAGAAATTTTTGCAGATCTTCAATGTCATTTGGTGGTTTGTTTTATTTTCGTGTGCCTTTGATCTTCTTAAACCATGAATTCAATCAACATTGTCTTCTAGTGTTGCATATGTTGCAGAATACTTGAATAGAAACCGATTTCGTTCATGATTTCCATGTTCGAGGCTTTGAGCTGTTATGAATATCTTAATATATGAACTTTATGGAACACTATCTTTAACTGTTGCAAATGCTGTAGAATTCTTAACTAGAAATGATTTTCTTTCATGATTGAAGCTTGGAGCTGTTATGGGGATTTTACTACATGAACTTAATGGATCATTTTCTTTTTACTTTTGCATATGCTGCAGAATACTTGAATAGAAATCGATTTCGTTCATGATTTTTGTGTTTGATCTGCCATTAACGGTTTCTCTGATAATTTACAATGAAACTGCTATGTGTTTACAAGGTTAGAGTGCTTGAGAGAGAGCTGAATGCTGTTTGTTTACGGATGTAAAAATGGAAAAGAAATTGGCAATCTCTCGATACCGAGAGAGACTGGACAAGACGATGTCCTCTGCTGAACTGACTGATCCGGAGACGCTTAAAACCATCGTCAAGAATCAGATTTTACGATATGCACACGATGAGAAAGAAGGTTAAGAGTGTTTCTTCAATTCAAACCGTCCATGATATTCGCACTTTGATCCCTCTATGCACATTTTCTTCTGATTTTTCTTTTCGGGTCTGCAGATTTTAGTGAAGATTTGCTGGAAAAGAGGGCTCGAGAAGTATCGAATTTTCTTGACATGTTAAGGAGTACTTCAATAGATGATCATCTGGTGTCTAAGTCCACTGAAATTTCACACGGTGAATGGAAAGTATGCTATAGTTCTCTTATATAAATGGCTTTATTAAACATATACGAGTGAAGTGAACTTTACAAGTTATAAATTATGATTAATTTTCTTTGAAAGTGCACGGCTAACTTCGTTCGACAGTTGCAGCACAACAATGAAGAGTTCCGTGTTATGTACCGTGAAGGGCCTCTTGGCACTCTGTTCCACACATTACTAGTTGAAGGCTATGTAGATGGGCCTTTGGATGTTTGTGAGTTCAGCTCATACTTCAATTACTTTAAGAACTAACCCAAAATCGTATAAAAAAACTTCTAAACTAGCTGTACACTTCATTGCAGGTTTATGTATCTCTTGGGAGTCGGCTTTCTATAAGAAATGGTGAGAATTGTTTCCATCGTCTTTTTTAACATCCTCTGCTGAAGTAATATTGTGTCTTGTGTTGCCAAAAATCTCTATATGCTTTTATGGTTTTTATTTTGGATCCGATCCCGAACCATGGTGCACAAGTAACATCTTCTTTTGCATTTTCCCAGGTGGCCTCAGTCCAGTTTTCCGTCATTCAAAGTAAATAGCTCCACCTGTTTAAAAAAGGTCTGAATCGGCGAACAGATATCTCTAGTGAAGTTCTTGTAGCCTGAAACGACGACATAAATTTGTTTCCTTTTCTTGAAATACCATGTTGAATTCTGATGCTTACGTGTTTTCGTATTTTCGGGAGAAGGATGAAGGTTGCGTGGCCAATGTCAGCTAGGGAGGCTCTAATTCACTATTTCTTTTTCGAGTACTTTCAAGATGATCTGATTATCATTCTCATGAACACGGTAGAGACTTCAAATACATGAACATGGTTACATAGACTTTGCGGTTGGCTTTCTTCGCACGTATTGGAAAATATATCCAAGTACACACTTCTGCCTTTAGATCTCGGATGTCAGCAGCATCGATAAAGTCGTACATGGATTTACTAACGACGGAATTCCCGAAGCAAAGGATGTTGTAAGGATTGATTTGGTCGGAGGCTTCGCTTTTCAGAAGGTGAACGATGAACGAAGCTACTTTAGGTCAGTTGTAAGTAATACTTTCAAGTTTTCATATGAACATGTAGAAGTAGATGGCTTATGTATGCTCTTTGAGAAAGGGTAGGGTTTAGGTCCTCAGTACAAGCTCCAAAGGAGTTTGCCTGCAAAGATAACGGATGTGAAATCCGAACAGGTCATGTTCTTGAGGACGTTATTTTTCGGACATCCCAAAACATGAGTGGCGGGCGTGATCAGATTAGTCCGATTCAGTGTTTGTGGCACGAAGCTTCCAATCATGAGGATTTGTGGGTTTATATTCCTGTTATATTCTTCACGTTTCTTCTCGAAGATTTAAGTTTATTAATTTTGTAGGACAATAGCAAACATGGATATGAAGCTGGAATTTGTCCCTCCATCTCTTATAAATTGGAAATTGTTTCAGACTCTATCAAAAGGTTACAGTTCACACACATAAGCTATGTTACTCGGACTCAGTAGTGCTCGTCGAATACAATACATTTTTTCCATATATTTGGAGATTCATATCCCCGTACTCATGTTTGGTATGCCTGTTAGTATTGCTGGTGGCTTTTGGATTTGGAACTTCATTTTTCATGGTGCAGATTATTATGATGAACTGATTAATCTCAGAATTTCGAATTTACAATGCTTGCAGACTGTGGCTTCTGTGACGAAATGTGATGAAGATTACAGCAAGGCCTTGGGAGATCCATTGTTTTCTCTAATACGCGAAGCACTTTACACCAGTGACAAATCAGGTGACGTTCTTCAAGTACATGAGCTTGAAAGTGAAGCCGACATTTTGCGGAAGGAGAATTTAAATGGAGACACACATGATATCGGACACAAGTTCATCATGCTAATGACCAAGCTGCCGAAACTCCACTGCAGAAAGAACAAGACATGAAGAGAAAAGCTTTCAGTGAAATCGAAGAAGAAAGTGAAAAGAGTACATACTCAACCAATGAATTTACCGATCGATGCAAATGGCATAAATGCTAAAAGAAAGATCCCTATTCGTCCCGAGGTGGAAGATGCTCTAAGAACACTGGAGAAGGTCATTTCAGTAGCACGACAACATGGATTTAATGCATGAAGCAGTTCTTCCACTTTCTGTGATGAAGAAATGGTAAATTCGGAAGGTGTTGTGAAAAACTTAATATATGTTGCAGATGACGATGTTAATTTAAAAGCCAAGGTTGATGTTAAGGCCCACTCCAAAGAGTTTGTGTCGAATCTGGAGATGACTTCGGAGAAGTCTCGGAATAGCAGTGAGATTAACGACACGAGGTAGCCATATTAAGATACTCTCGCATATATTCATATCTTTATATTCAAGTTAAATGGTTTTGATCTGTGAATGTTCTGCAGTATTGAAGTGAATATTCTAGAATGAATCTAGAATGAGCTGCTGAAGTAATTTGTTGTGTGTGTGTAATGTAGTTCAGTAAGTTTGTTAGGATTCTGTTATACCAGATTACCAGCTTGTGGAGTTAGTTACCACGTGTATATAAACCATGTGTTGTTAATGAAAAGAACTAAGAAACTTCCAATAAGATTTCCAGCTTTCTTTACTCATTCTAATATGGTATCATCCGCCTTGTGATCCTGGAGGTTGCTGCTTTCATGGGCGATTGCAACAATATTGCTTTTGAGTTCGGGGAAGCTGCTCGTAGCAGCAAGATCTTCACGCATAAGATGATCAACATCTTGTTGGATGAAGCGAATTATTTGTTGTGGAAACAACAAATACTGCTCACGGTTCGCAGCCACAGATTAGAGAGGTTGCTCAATGGAGAGTTATTACCGCCACCTGCTCGAATTGCTGATGAATCAGGTGCTAGTGTTGTGAATGAAGACTATGAAAACTATGTTGCTCAGGATAGTGCGCTTGCATCTTGGTTGCTATCTACAATCAGTGATCCCTTGTTACCTCAGTTTGTAGGAGCCGAGACAGCAGCTGATGTGTGGTGAACGGTTCAGAAGTTATTTGCCAATCGGTCGACTATGACTGTAATGAGTTTGCATTGTAAACTCAGATCTGTTAAGAAAGGAGATGACAGCATGAGGCTATATCTTACTAAGATTAAAGAAGTGTGTGATGCGCTTGCAGCGTGTGGGAGTGCTATCTCGGATCTTGAACAGATTGCTACCATTCTAAATGGTCTTTCAGTTGAATATCAACCGTTTGTGGCTGTGATTACTGTGAGCAAAGAGATGTTCTCTGTTGACAATATCAAAACAGTCTTAATGGATGCTGAATCACAGTTGAGTGGTTTTCAGTTGCAGCAGTCCCTTCCTATGAGTGCGAATGTAGCTACTGTTCGAACAAACAATCGTGAAAATGGCAGGTCTACAGCTCAAGGCTACAATGGAAATGGCGCTGGCAGTTATAACAGGAATAACAAATCTACAGGACGTGGTTGTGGTCGTCCTCGGTTACAATGTCAGCTGTGTGGAAAAAATGGACACTCAGTCGATCGCTGCTGGCATCGCTTCGATCAAACATTTCCAGGTGTGTTGGCTGACAAAAGTGAAGGTACTGAAGCAAATTACACTGTTGTAGATGAGTGTAAGTCGTGCAGCAGTGGTGTGCATGCTCAAGCACACAGTGCCTCCACAAATTCTGGTCGGTGGATTGTGGACTCTGGGGCTACCCATCACATCAATCCCGATGCCTCGAACCTTACCACTAGCTCGGATTATAATGGACCAGGTAAGGTGGTAGTTGGTAATGGACATCGTCTAACTATAGCTCGAGCTGGCTCTTCTGCCATGACTACTAATTCTCGTGCACTGGTTCTTAATGATTTATTGCATGTGCCCTCAGTAACTAAAAACCTTCTTTCTGTGTCAAAGTTTGCTAGAGATAACAAGGTGTTCTTTGAGTTTCATGCGGGGCCATGCTTGGTTAAGGATGAAGTGACTAAAGTGGAGTTGCTAAAGGGACAAGAGCATGCAGGCCTTTATCAATTTGTAGTAAATACGAAATGCTTGGAAGCTTGTCATGCCATAGTGGTAGAAGACTCTTGTAGTAACAATAAAAAGTATGATCTATGGCACAAGAGGCTTGGGCATCCTGCTCATCCGGTTCTTGTGCAAGCATGTAAAGAAGTTGGTGTAGTGTTTCCTTTTAGAAATAATATGGTTGACATTTCATTCTGTGTTGCATGTAGATTGGGTAAAAGCCATAAATTGCCATTCAATCAATCTCAAACAATGTATACCACGCTGTTTCATTTAGTTTTCAGTGATGTATGGGGTCCATCACACATAGCTTCTAATGGATATAGGTATTATGTCTCTTTCGTCGATGCGTGCACGAGACATAGTTGGGTTTACTTGCTTAAAACCAAGGATCAGGTTCTGCCAACTTTTCAGTTGTTCTTCAGCTTGATACAAACTCAGTTCAATGCTACTGTGAAAGAAGTTCAAAGCGATTGGGAGGTGAGTATCAGTCAGTCTCCACTTGGCTTAAATCTCTAGGTGTGGTGCATCGTCTAGCATGCCCACATACATCCGAGCAAAACGGTGTGGTTGAGCGAAAACACAGACACATAATTAAGTCAGCACTAGTTCTTATGGCTCAAGCTTCGATTCCATTTAAGTTCTAGTCGTATGTAGTGTGCACTGCTGTGCATCTCATTAATCGGCTACCTACGAAAGTTCTTCAAAACAAATCCCCGTACGAGGTGTTGTACTCAAAGAAACCAGACTATGGTTACCTCAGAGTTTTTGGTTGTCTTTGCTTTCCCCATTTACGGCCATATAATGCTCATAAACTCAACTATCGATCCTCTCAGTGCGTGTTCTTGGGGTACAACACTCAGCACAAAGGTTATCAATGCATGGATTCGGACGGTCGAGTGTTTATTTCATGACATGTCGTTTTTGATGAAGAATTTTTTCCTTTTGCAACATCAGGCATCAAGACTGGGTGCAAGTGTACGTTACGTAAGAGTGGTGTACAATTTCCTTTAGTAGCTGGTGCTCAGCGTGTCTGCATGAGAGGAGAATCACAGGGTGTTAACTCTGTGGCCAGTGTTGATGAGTCAGGGTCCAACTCGTTTAATAGTATGAATCTACCTGAAGATGCTAGTCATGAAGCAGATATACAGCCTGTGGTGTCAGGAGAAAATGATGTAGATGAGGTTGAACAGCGAGATGAGAATGTGGCTGAACAACAAAGTTCAAATGAGACAAGTACCGCGGTGTTGAACCAGGCTAATGGAGCATCTAGCGATAGTGGTCAAAGTGGTCACGATCAGCATGAGATATTACAACCAGTGACACGCCATCACATGGTTACACGTAGTAAAAATGGAGTGTTCAAACCCAAGCTGTACTCCTCAACTATCAGTGGTGAATCTGCGTGTCAGAATAGCAACGATATGAGTGAGGTTGAACCTCAAAATATTCATGAAGCCTTCAAGGATCCGTTGTGGAAGGCTGCTGTGCTTGCTGAATATGAAGCACTTCAGAGGAATAATACATGGTCGGTTGTCCCTCTACCAGAAGGAAGAATTATTGTTGGCTGTAGGTGGCTGTTTCGAGTCAAGCGTAATGCTGATGGCTCGATACAAAAATATAAAGCCAGACTTGTTGCTAAAGGATTCTCACAAGTGCATGGTAAGGATTTTCAAGAAACGTTCAGCCCTGTTGTAAAAATGTCAACAGTGAATGTTGTGTTGATAATTGTTGCTCGCAATGGTTGGAGTCTAAGACAAGTGGATGTAAATAACGCGTTTTTGAATGGCGAACTAAATGAAGAGGTGTTCATGGAACAACCTCAAGGCTTTGAACAACAGGCTGGAGATGGAAAAAGGTTGGTGTGTAAGCTACAGAAAGCCTTGTATGGTCTACGGCAAGCACCAAGGAATTGGTACTCCAAGCTGAAAAATTTTCTGGTGGACTTGGGGTTTCAAAGTTCTCGTGCAGATACCTCGTTGTTCATTAGACATAGTGATTGTACCAGCACGTATGTCTTAGCCTATGTCGATGATATCATTGTTACAGGAGGCAAAAATGAGGACATCGAGCAAGTTGTGAAGCTGCTAGGAGCAAAATTTTCACTCAAAGACTTGGGTAAGCTTAATTTCTTTCTTGGAATTGAAGTTAAGGGTGTTGATGGTGCAGTGTTCCTTAGTCAGAAGAAATATATAATGGAGCTGCTAGATAAGTCAGGAATGAGTAAGGCCACAGCAACTCCAACTCCTATGGTTGCGTCGATTAAACTGTCAAGTAACGGTGCAGGCAGTTTGTTAGAAAACACAAGGGAATATCGCAGTTTAGTTGGGGGTCCTTGTTGTATGCCTGTCATACAAGGCCAGACATAGCTTATTGTGTGAATAAGCTAGCACAGTTTATGCATGCACCGTGCGAACAACACTTGGTGGCTGTCAAACGGGTGCTGAGATATCTTAAGGGGACACTTGATTATGGCCTGGTGTTTTTGCCGAGAACATAACCATTTCAGCTTGTGGCCTTTGCTGATGCAGACTGGGGAAGTAGTATTGATGATAGAAGGTCCATATCAGGCACCTGTGTTTTCCTAGGTGGTAGTATGGTTCAGTGGAGTTCAAAGAAACAAAAGATAGTCTCGAGATCCACCACAGAGGCTGAGTACAGGAGCCTAGTTGATGCCACATCTGATGTCGTTTGGCTTGAAGCATTGCTGACTGATATGAAAGTTCCAGTTCAAGCTGCTTCAGTGGTGTGGAGTGACAACACCAGTGTGATTTCCATGAGTGCTAACCCAGTACACCACTCTAGGACAAAGCATGTGGAGTTAGACATACACTTTGTGAGGAACGTGGCTGCAGGAAGGCTTCAAGTGAATTTTGTACCTTCTGAACATCAGTAGCAGACGGACTTACTAAAGCACTAACGAAAGATAGCTTTGCTCAGTTCAGGCAAAGACTTGGTGTGCTGTCGTTTCTTGAAGTTGAGAAGAGAAAAAGTAGGGAGGATATTGAAGTGAATATTCTATAATGAATCTAGAATGAGCTGCTGAAGTAATTTGTTGTGTGTGTGTGTAATGTAGTGCAGTAAGTTTGTTAGGATTTTGTTATACCAGATTACCAGCTTGTGGAGTTAGTTACCACGTGTATATAAACATGTGTTGTTAATGAAAAGAACTAAGAAACTTCCATCAAGATTTCCAGCTTTCTTTACTCATTCTAATATGCAGGCACGAAGATTCGAGTTCCCTTGCAATGGAAGCTAACCATAACAAAGTTGTACTGGGTTCACCTCAGACAAATGTACCGGTTGCCTTGAGTTCCTATGGAAATGGAATCATCAAGGCAGATGGGTTCTATGAAAAAAGACCTAAATGAAGCTAAAAAGTTGAGTAACCGGAGAAAGCATATATTAGGCTGCTTCAGCTTGAGTTTCGGGTGACCGATGTTTAACCCGGGAAGAAGACCTAGATGGCTAATACTAGTTGACTTCATCAGCAAGGCACTTGAAGACTTGAGAATGGATTTTCTGATATTTTACACAAAAAACATCCCTAAAAATAATGTAATCTAATATTATGTATACCATAATTTGTTCCTCATCTAATCAACAATGTGATATATATAATGTGTAATAAGTGCTTAATCCATGGCCTATTATTGGTTATAGTTGAAATTTGTGGAATGCTCAAATAGTAAATTACTGTTTTTTAACAAATAAAAAAGTCATCTTGAACTTTGGGTCAGTTCGGTTCCGTTCGAATTATTATTTATATAATACAAATTATTTTTATTTAAAATAAACCATAAAATATTTAAGTTATTTAATGTGTAAAAAGATGAAAAAAAACATTTAACTATTATATTTAAACTGGGCATAGTAGAGGTATCAAAACCATAATTTAACCCAAATATTTCAACTCAAAAGCTTTACTATCATATTAATCTCAGCCATGAATGAACAATCATGCTCTGATAACCACTGAAATTGCTGGTGGTGAGCTACACCTTATCAGAACCCATTTAAACCTGTAATTCTAACAGAAAAGCCTGCCTTTATTTTCTTTTTCTTTTTTTCTCATTTTCTTTCTCTTTTGAATGGAGGGAAAAAAACGAAAGAACATTATTTTCCCATTGTTTGTGATTTCAAATTATTGTTTTGACATCGAATTTGTCCATTCTGATTGTTTATTTACATTGGGTTATTGTAAATTCTCTTCCTTTTGTTAATGATCATTGATTATTCTAGGAAAATTTCGTGTTTCTAATGATCATTGATCATTGAGGGGGTATTTTGAGAATAATTGAAATCCCTCAAAGGATCTTTTTTTTTATGGAATTGCTTTAGATTAGAGGGACGATTCTTCTAATTGATTCATTGCATTCATAATTGGTGTTTGTTGAATTGAGTCTGTGAAGATATAGGGGTGATTAGATGGCTAAAGCTCCCATTTTTAATTTCATTTTTAAAAAAGGAACCCTTTTAAGGAGATAAGAAATGGGATTGTAGTTCATGGGTGAATTTAGATATTGTTGGGTGGAAAGAAGAGAAAGTGTGAGAATTTAAGTTTTCAAATGGGAAATGCCTGTGCCAAGTCAGACGCAGCGGAGGAAGCCAAAAATGATGAAACAAAACAAGATGGCGATGGCAATGAGGGTGAAACTAAAGATAAGGATCAGGGTGAGAGTACAGAACCGGAAGAATCCGACACGGTTCAGAACAACCTCCGGGAGAAATGAAGATTGTTAGGGAAGAAACAGGGGAGGAACAAAAATCAAAATCCACTGAAACAACCCAAAGGCAACAATCAAAAGCCAATGAACAACACAAAGACAACAATCGAAATCTCACCCCAAAGACTTAACTCCAAGCCATCTCAACTTTCAGAGTTTAATGAGGGTAAAGCTGAGACCGGAAAACAGAAAAAGGCTCATAATCTGAAAAGGCAATCTTGTGCAGGGTTGAAGGTTGATTCAGTGTTGCAAACCAGGACAGGTCATTTAAAGGAATACTATAACTTGGGGAGGAAGTTAGGTCAAGGACAGTTCGGAACCACTTTCCTTTGCATCAAGAAAGGTACCGGCAAAGAGTTTGCATGTAAATCAATCGCGAAAAGGAAGCTTATGACTATTGATGATGTCGATGATGTGAAGAGAGAGATCCAGATAATGCATCACTTGTCAGGGCACCCAAACGTTATATCCATCAAAGGGTCTTATGAGGATTCGATGGCGGTTCATGTTGTGATGGAGTTGTGTGCAGGGGGTGAACTTTTTGATAGGATTGTAAAGAGGGGCATTATAGTGAAAGAAAGGCAGCCGAGATAACAAGGATTATTGTTTCTGTCGTTGAAGCTTGTCATGCCATGGGAGTAATGCATAGGGATCTCAAGCCTGAAAATTTCCTTTTTGTGAATCAAGAGGAGGATTCACCTCTTAAAGCCATCGATTTCGGATTATCAATATTCTTCAAGCCCGGTATGTTCAAAATTTTTCTCTTTTATCACTTTCAATTTATAGTTAAATGAACTTTTAGCCCACTGTTGTAGAAGACTTTGATGTTTATTAGAAACAGTTCATATATCATTAAATCTGTTTCACTTGTAGGAATAAAGTGTTTAGATTTTAGAGACTTTTCAACAATGTTGTGAAGTCACCAATGTGTTGCTTTCTTAAAGAATGTCTTGAATTAATTTAGGGGATACCTTAACCGATGTCGTTGGAAGCCCGTATTATGTCGCACCCGAGGTATTGCGAAAGCGTTATGGTCCGGAAGCGGATGTGTGGAGTGCTGGGGTAATCACTTACATTCTCTTAAGTGGGGTGCCACCGTTTTGGGGTGGTAAGTGTTCACCAGATATAATTTCTGTTAGTATTTGCTTTGTTGAACTCTTAAATTTTTCTAGCAATCTTGTTTTGAACATTTGATCTATTTCTTGTTATTTTGATATAGAAACTGAGCAAGAAATATTTAATGAGGTTTTGAATGCTGAGCTTGACTTCTCATCTGATCCCTGGCCTAATATCTCTGAAAGTGCTAAAGAACTAGTGAGGAAAATGCTTGACAGAGATACAAAGAAGAGGATAACGGCTCACGAAGTACTACGTAAGTCTCGTTATAACGTTGATGTTGATAAATGATTTGAAGCTTATTTCAACTTTGAATTCTCAGCTTCTGTTTCTTGAGGCTAATGGATTAAACTTGATGATCTTTAGATGATCCACCATTGGATTTTGAGAAATTTGATCCTTTGTAACTTGCAGGCCACCCTTGGGTTCAAGTTGATGGGGTGGCACCAGACAAGCCACTCGATTCTGTTGTCTTAAGCCGCCTGAAACAATTTTCTGCAATGGATAAGCTCAAGAAAATGGCCTTAAGAGTAAGTTTCTGCCATTTACAGTGGCCTGTAAAGCTTCAGAATGGACACATATTGAAATCAAAACTCATTTCAATGTAGAAATCCCACATTTAAATGATTACTTATTTGGTTAAAATCTGAATTATTTCATTGTGTTTTTAAGGTCATTGCCCAAAGACTTTCCGAAGAAGAAATAGCTGGGTTGAAAGAAATGTTCAAGATGATAGACACAGATGGTAGTGGTCAAATCACCTATGATGAACTCAAAGAGGGATTGAAAAAATTTGGTGCCGATCTTGCCGAACCCGAGTTTCATGCTCTAATGCAGGCCGTACGTTGCTTTGACTCTTCATATTTCTGTACCCGAGTCCGAGTAACATATATATATCGATTCCATTATCATACCAATTTGACATGATTATCGAATCTCAGGCAGACATCAATAACAGCGGTACAATCGATTACGAAGAATTCGTAACTGCAACACTGCATCTAAACAAGATTGAGAGAGAAGACAATCTATTAGCAGCCTTCTCGTATTTCGACAGAGACGGCAGCGGCTACATAACTCCCGACGAGCTTCAAAAAGCTTGTCAAGAATTTGGTATCGAAGACATCCGCCTCGATGAAATCATGAAAGAAGTCGATGCAGACAACGTAAGCATCTCTAATCCATGCATATGCAAAACTTGTGTGATTTGGCTCAACATAAACCACATTATTTTCATGTTCGACTCATTTTTCACAGGATGGTCGGATCGATTACAATGAATTTGTAGCCATGATGCTTCCTAAAGTTGGCAAGAAAGGTGCATAATAGATACATTTTTGGCATTTTCGTAGGACATTTTATTCAGGTTTTCTTTTTCCTTTTTAAACCTTGTTGAGTTTAGCTCTTCAAAGTTTGAGGGTAAGAGTTCCCTTATTTGTGACTGAAATTTGTTGTATACACAATTTTTGATTCCATGTACTTGCACTTCTTATTTCAGTGTATTATCAGCTATGTGCATATTATGGGAGATATTCCCACCATAATTAAGGATTATAAATTATTTGAATTAACACACTTTCTAAATATATAGTTTAATCTGATATAAGAATTTGAAGATTAGAATTAATATCACACTTAAAATTCAAGAAAACGTTAGCATTATTTAATGAAAATAAACAAAACCGATTAGATACGATATATATATGTTTTATTATCAGATGAAATGGTTTAACAGAAAAATATCAAATTTTACTCATAAATTGAATAAATTTCACTGATTTATTGAAATTATTTTAAATAAAACTTTGCTAATAAATTAGATATTCATGTATAATAAAATGATTTACAAGAAAATTGAAAAACATAATTTCTTTGTGTATAAAAAAGGAAAAGAAGACAAATTATAATGTTAAAGTGCCTTCTCCTCTGGCATCATTAGGGGAGTAGGCGGTTCTTCAAATATTACTAAAGCATTGTGTGGACTGTGGGCCAATTTCGTAATCTGATCCCATCTTCAGCCGCAATTTATATGCCCAAGAAACTGTAAATTTCCTATTACTTTCCAATCCCCATAGCAGAAGATGATGAGAATTTTGGGACTGGTTAACCGGAATTGTAACCGCCATAATCATCTGTTCCGGAATGTCGACCGTAAGCGGTAGGAACCCCAGATACATGCCTAGCTCATCCGTAAGCGGTATACCACAAATGACTGGCACTAGTTGATTCCACGTTGAGCGAAACAAATCATTTTTATTTTTCTAGATTTATCTTCAATCTCCACGCTTGACTAAATTTTGTTACAGCCTTCCGCATGGCACTGTCAAGATCGCTGCACGTCTGGGCTCTTCCGTTGTGGCTGTGGGTATCCTTGTGCTCGCCGGTCCTGCTCTCCCGTTTCGTGGTCTGCGTGATGCTAGCCTCCTGGAAGCCCATGCACTTTGTCATGGTGGCGATAGAGATGGGAGTATCCTACTGACTCCTTGTTCAGCAATTGGACAATCACCATTTGGATCCATCGGTTTTGAGATTCTACCTGGCTGAGACACGCCATTTATTTGACGCGCATCCAAGGTTGATTGTTCGTAATATTCGTCGTGGCGCTAATGGTGCTGCCCATGCTCTTACAAGTCATGTTTCCAATACTGCCATACCTTTGTATTTTGATATTCTAGTACCTTCTACTATTACAACTTTGGATGCTAATTTTACTTAATACGGCATGATTTAATTTAAAAGAAAATTAAAAATAAAATATTAGATTTAAAATAGTATTAAAATAAAAAAAATGGTCTAAAAAATAGAATTTTAATTGAAGGTTGTACATCTAAATTGTAATGGTGGGTGGGTCTGTTTCTGTTCGAGAAGGACTTCGCCAAAAGCCACTACCACCAAACTTCTCCCACATCTCTTCTTCAAGTTCAAACAAATCTTTATCTTCTTCCTCACAAACCTTAACATCTAACACAATATCTTTAACACAAACCACCGCTTCATCACTCAATTCCCCATCTTCACATCCACAACCATCCCTCCCTTTAAACAACCCTTTCTTCTGCGACTTCCGCCGCCGTTTCAGGCGGAAAGCACGCCGACAAAGCCCTGCCGGGACTTTATAAATCACTAACACCAGGAGGTTCGCTATCCAGCAAGGGAAACAACAACAAACCGCCGCACACTCGGCCGTCGTTCCCCCACAAAACTCCCCAAACTTGGCACTCTTCCTCGAGCTGCTGCTTCTGATCACGGTATGGCTGCCATCGTCGACGCCGGAAAAACCGGAAGACGTGGAATGGCTTTGCAGCAGCGGTTGCTGCCGGTAGACGGTACCGGTTGGGGTCTTAAGGATTATCCGATGAGACATTAAATATAAAAGGGGGTATTATTGATGCAATATTGTTTTCGTTTCTCGGCAACAATGGGCGCAGAGAACAAAAATGAAGGTGTTCAGGTTTAAAAGAATACGGACAGTGAAATCAAACTAACAAAGATGGTCTGGAAAGGCAAAAAAAAAACAGATGAACAATTGTGTAACGGAAAGAGAAAGCAGTTTTTTTTTTAAGACAAATGATGTTCCTGGGATCTCTGGTTTTCCTTTGACTTGTTGCTCGCTATTTCTTAGGGTAACCATTAACAGAAACAAAACCAGAGGAGGTGGGGTGTTTGACCAAGTTTGTTTTGTGTGTGTAATACAACGTGAATAGAAAACATAACATATGAATCCACGACTACTAGTTATTATTAAATACCCATATATAGACTATCTATTATTATTTTGGCACAATATCAAAATCAGCCCCCAATATTTATTAAAATAATCATTTTAGCTCTTATTCTTTTGTTTAGTATTTCAAGGTAAAAATTATCTCAAACATTTGATTGAATAATCATTTTTGGCTTTTATTCTTTTTTTTAAGTATTTTGACCATCAACGTTTTATTTTAAGATAAAAAGATCTCTATTTTAGAGCGTTAATCATTTATTAACTAACTTCATTCTTAGAAGGACCTTTTTACCTAGAAATAAAACGTTGATGGTCAAAATAATCTTAAAAATATAAAGACTAAAATGAGTATTTAACCAAACGTTAAAGACATTGTTTGATATTATACTAATTGTTTTTAGATTAAAGTACACAAAAGGTCCCCGATTATAAGATATTACTTTATTGAGTCCCTGACTATTAAAAGTTAGAAAATGGTTATCCGATTATGCAGAGTTTCTTTTTGAGTATCTATACTATTAAAAATTACAAAATGGTTATCCCACTATTTATTATATTCTAAACTCATCCTTTTCTCTTATAAAATTAATGGTCGTCTTAGCTAGACGTTAACATGTTGACTGAGATATGATAGTCGTTTGAGATTATGAGATCATATTTTATCATATCTCAGTCAGCAGGTTAACGTCCAACTCAGACTGCCGTTAATTTTTTAACGATAAAGGACAAATTTGGAACATAATGAATAGTCGGGAGAATATTTTATAATTTTTAATAATCGATAGACTCAAAGAATCAACTTCATATAATTAGATGATCATTTTATAACTTTTAATAGATGAAACAATAAAATAATATTTTATAGCCAGAGACGTTTATGTATTTTACCCTTGTTTTAATACATATTAATTTATTACCATCTCCTTAATAATAAATAATTATTTTTTATGTGAACTCATTTACATTAAATCGGTTTAGTCTACTAGCCGCCCTCTTGGATCTAAAATTAAGTAATTCGTTAAAGTTAGATAAAATTATTAATTAATTAACTACCTTTTAATATATTCGATATTAATGAGAAATGGATTTCCGTCAAACATTTTAGCCTAATAGACAAAAAAATCCCGCTTGTTTACGCAATTAAAAAATATGAGGGTCAGTTTTTATAAAATTATGTCTGAATTAATCAATTAATAAATTAAATATTAATGATTAATTAAAAAAATATGAGAGTGATAGATGTGCGAAACATCACACTTCATAGAGTATATAAATATCATGTCGACATAAGAAATCCTAATGGATGGAATACTTGCGAAGATTTTCAGTCCAAGGTATGATATGTTAGATGAACATGAAGCTTGGGCTAATATTGAAGGAGATGGTTTAGCATGAATTTGGTAGTGAAGTAACAACCTTGGCTGGTAAGTTGTAACACATGGGAATGAAAGTTTGACAAGAAATATTTGTAGGGATTAATCCCACCAAAAAAGCAGGCAAAACTACAAATCAGCATTGGGCAATTTGAAAGCATTGAGTTGTAATTACATACCAACGTTGGATACTAGTTTCATTTGCAGCACTGACACTGGCTTTTGTCTGATTCTTACATGTCGACAAACAAGGATCAAAATTTGCCATCACGCCTTAATCTTGTGGATGCCACTTCCATCACAAAAACCAGAAAAATAGCTTCCAAAAATTGTTTCTTCACTCAGTTTCTGAAAATTTCAGCAATCAAGAGAGCAACCCACTTCAGAATACGCAATACCCATTTCCCCAAACCCCAAAACTCTCTACTTGGCTACCTTCAAAAGCTGAGTTCTCAAGCTTTTGGTCTTTAATGGTTTACTTGAAATATGAGTTTAGGTTGTTGTCAAACCAAATGGTTTTTTTCGCTGGAGTCCATTTGGTAACAAGATTGGTGGTCTCAAATTCGGAAACTTTCAAGTTAGTCAAAGGAGAAAAGGCACTAGTACGAGGTTGAGTATAGGCAGTGTGGTGGAGATGGAGGGAAAAGGAGTAGTAGAGTCCGAAATAGTATTTATTTAACCGCTAATATTCTAGTATTCCTGCGGTGTTTCATCGTGACGCTTTGCGGACACCAGTGATCGATGGTAAGCTATTCGATCTGCAACTTTTGTCTCGTTTCTCCTATTACCGAGTCTCTCATCCGTAGATTGTGACAGGCATTTTGGAGGAATTAATTACCCTGTTGGCAAAATCGCAATGTCCGAAGTATTGATCGATCAGGGTTGTGAAATACAAATGTAACTAACATCATGCTTGACCAAGGAAAAGCTGTAAGTTAGTCTTAGTTTTGAAATTCCGTGAATAAATCGATGCATCATCGATGGTTCTGCGTGTGGTAAAAACGTTACTTAATGCTTACGGGCCTGTATTTTGGATTGGTTGGTTCAGATGGAAGGGAGTTTCTTGCCCAAACCATAATATCAAAATGCTACTCGACGGTTAGTGTTCAGAAAGAACTGGTTATGTTCCTTTTACTGGTTTTTTTCAGCTCTATTATCGAATGACAGATTGTAATCCACTTGAAATGTCAATATGAATCTTGATGAGACTAGCAACAATAAACTCCAGCGAACTAACAATTGCTCAAATTAGAAAACACAGCATACTTGAAACGAAAATCATACAAAAATCTGAAACATACAAGAAATCAGCAATAGAATCATACCTCCTGAAATCCAACAAATATAAGCGTGTATGCTCACAGCATTCATGTTTTGCTGATCAGACAGTAAAATGTATTCAATCATGAGAAAACGAAAAAAAAATGTAAAATGAAAGCACGTTGGACAATATACTAAAGGCTGCTCCAAGGAATCCATAAGAAGGGATGCAATGTCTATACATGATAGCTTATTCAAACCCACTCGGCAAACCCCATTACGATTGTTGGCTTCATCTTGAAATGGAAGTAGATGAACCACTTTCACACTTGTGTACTCGAAAGACATCTCCACTGCCTCAGTCTAGGGCCCTTGTCGAGAAGCATTAGCAACCCAACGTTGTTTGGTGACAATCCATACAGGTACCTATATAAATTGGGATAAATATGAGCAAAAGTGAACCAAACTTTGTCATAGACATATCTCTAGGATATTATATGCTGATAATCTTCAAAATCAATTTCTAATATAGAATGCAATAAAACAATTTATGTGAGAATATAGAAAATTATGTATCCAAGTGCATGTCCCTCCCCACACTTGCATCTCTATTGTTTAATGGCCAAGTTCTAAAATGCCGCAAAATGGAATAACAAATTTGTTACTTTTAACCTAATAATATTAGCCTTTAGATAAATTGAACAGAGACAAAAATATGCCAGTTTTAAAACATAGGTAAATTATGACTCCGGAAGTGTGCCCTGCCTTGTTTTCACAGCTAGTTAAGGAAATTGTCAGTGTTTTATTGGAGCATAGTGTTATTATTAGGTTTGTAAAACGGGTTGTGAATTGGAGGCTGATAGTTTGGCTAAGTCAGGTATAGGGTAATTTTTTTGTAACTTTTTGTTTGAATATGTGTTTGTATAGAGGATTAAGTTGGTGGGTGATGTTTGTAATATCCTGTTGTTGTATGAGGTGTAATTTCTTTTTGGCAATAAAATTTGTGCCACTTTTTTCCTCCTTCCAATGTCCGCTGAGGTACTTATGTACCGCGGCAGTTATGAAAGGGATTTTTAACGAGGCCTCATTTCTTATAAAAAAAAAAAAACATAGGTAACTCCAACAGTAACCATTTATACAACAGAAATACTACTTACTTGTTTCGTCGAGTTTTCCGCCTCCAGAAAAGAAAGGACAGAATCCACTGAAAGAAAAATAAAATCAAAAGTAAATAAATTTTGGAACTATGATGTTCAGATTGGGAAACATAGAACAGCTGTATTGATGATGCTTCCAACAATGTTAGCAACACTCAAATGCGGGGTTTCCAGGCTAGAATTCAAGAAAGCAAGTGGAACAAAATTGATATTAAACTAGTAAACGAAGAGAACTTGTCCATGAAAGCTTACTCCATTCAACTCCTATTGTGTCAGAACTTGGATAAACACTAAATTAATACAAGTAAAAGAGTAGAAGAATGAAACAAAAAAACAGGTAAAATGAATAGTTTGTATAGGATATATATACAAGTAGTAAAAAGAAGGGGCAGGCTTTTGATGCAACAAAAGATGAAAGATGAGGTGCAAAAAATGGCCTGTAGATGATATTCAACCAGATATTCTACATGTAGCAAAGTAATTAAACATGTAACTCATTTCTGCATAGCCTACCTAATAGGTAGGCAGTTTTAATGTAAATTAATTTTGGAAAGATGTGATTCATCTTGAAAAACACCCATAGGATAATATATTACAGCTATTTTAACAGTCGTATAGAACATTACAAATAAAAGAACAGTTAATATGGAGAGCACTTAGTAAAAAGCCAAAGTAAATTGTGAAGTTTCAAGAATAAGGCATCGTGATGTAGAATAATCCAAAATACAGAGACATGAGAAGGTCAATAATAGAACTAGATGGTCTAAAATACATACAGAAAAGAACTTTTTGTTCAAACAAAGATTACCTTGAAGAATGACATGAATGGAAGGTTTTCAAGGATAGATGGCTTCCTTAAAGTCACTTGTCTTTCAGGTGACATTTCCTTGCACAAATGTTGAGCTATTTCTTTCAATAATACCAACTGCGCCTTTTCAGTTCGCATTGATATTATTGCTTGTCTCATTGATTCCCTATCAGCCTCAAGGGCCTGAAGCCTTGCGTAAAGGTTCTTGATACCGGGATCACAAACATCAGGCAGATCAAGTGCACCCCTTGGAGTGTATCCATAATCATCATGATCTCCAACTCCAGGTTTAGGTTCATAGGGTCCCTCATTTGGCACCCCAGTATGGATTGAATCAATCGTATAAATTCTGTCACTCATATCATCTCCAACTTCTGAAGCATTATCCATTCTTCTTGAGCTGGAAATCTTGTCCATTTCTGAAACAAACTCCATCTTCCTCAAGCTAGTATTAAACCTGGGAGAATCACCGGTAAACTCCGAATTTATCTCTTTAGGCAGGAAAAAGTTTGAACTATCACCTGAAAGCCCCCTTGAATGTCTTGATCGCCTAGGAGAGTGACCAACTATTACCTTCTCTGAAACATTCTTTGTTCCTTCTTGTTGACTCAGCTGACTGCTGCTCAGATTCCTCTCCAATTGGCAGATCCTTTGTTCCAGATTTCTTAAGTGTTCTCGGGGAGCCTCACCAAATGTATATTTCTCAATATCTTCAACATCATCAGCAGGATTCTCGTTCAAATTGCACTTTGGAGGTGGATAATCATATGGAAGATCAACTGAGCCATCGAAGTTCTCAGCCATGTTTTGAATCTGCCATTCTGGCTCACCTTCGATTTCTTCCTCTGTAAGCCCATGACTCAGCATCCTATGCTTGTAAGCCTCAGCTTCACATGTAAGAGCATGAATAGTCTGCTCTCTACTATACAACAGATCCTCCAATAACATTATCTCCTGCTGATCATGCACCATTTTCTCCTCAGCATAAGTCTTGAATTGCCGTGACTCCATTTGGATCTCCGCCTTCTCTCTCTGCAACTTCAATATCATTGACATGGCCTCAGTAGCAGCCGATGATGAAGCATTTCTCTCTTCCTCCAATTCTCTATTCAAATCCTGTATTGTGGTCTGTTTGCTGCTAACAGTTTCCCGTAAAGCGGCACACTCATTCTCAATTTGGACTTTGGCATTGAAGTTAAGATCCAAACCTGGAACATAAAACCTGTTTGTTGTCTCGAACTCATCGTATTTTCGTTTAACAGACCGAAACCAAGTACTCAATTGTTCACCGATCAAAGAACAAGTAGCACAATCACAATCACAACATTTCACCGGATCTCTTGGAACTGACGGTGAATAAACTTCTGACTCCATATATTAATATATGGATTCAAACTCAAGCAAACTAGTTATTTACTGACAATTCTATTACCAACAAAAAGAATCTAAAGAAAGTATAAGAACTTATTAAAGTTCTCACTAGAATCCCGGATCCTCCAATGAATATTTCCCCTCCCTTCTCCACTCACCAGCTACATATATTCCTCCTGGAAAAACCAATCGCAAAACAAAGTTGCCGAAAAAATTAATGAAATATATGCAACTAAAAAGTTCCTATTTAGGCATAAGTTTTCCAGGAATCCTTATAAAAGTTACTAAGAAGATGTAAATAATGCGATAGTTCTCAGTTAACATTCAAAGGCTAAAGAATTCTCCAGAAAACCCAATCGAATTAGATTTTTTATTGAAACAGAGAGAGAAATGAAGAGCAGGAAGAAGAGAGGAAGAAAAAAAATGAAACTAACCGTGAAAGCTGAGATGGAGCGATCTGGAAAAAGGGAAAAAAAATCCCGGGAAAATAAACCACTAGAGAATAACAGTCAAACTCTTTCTTGTTTCTAATTTTATCAAACTTCTTCTCTGAAAGAAAATCAGTCGCCTGACACCAAGCCCAATAGCAAAAAAATTGTTTCCCAAGCGAAAACTGGTAATCATTGCAATTCTGATTGGGAGGAAGGAAAATTAGGAGGGAAAAGGAAAAAATAAAATCAGAAAGTAGAACCCTAACTTTGTTATTTTTGGGTGTCTGTTTAGTTGGTGGGGAAGTGCTTTTTTTTCTTCTAATCTTTTCTTAATGATTCTTGATTTTCGTGTAGACCATGCGATTTTTTCGATATATCACTGGCGACCGGTAATATTATCGATCTAACATCGGTCAGATTATATTTTTTGATCTAACACCCTTAGCAGTAAAGCGCGCCCCCTGTACCGCGTTATACGATGATTTGGCACCACGTGGGGTATAACGCGCCCCCTGAACCGCGCTATACGGTGAGCTGGCGTCACGTGGGTATAGCGCGACCCCTGCAGCGCCCTATACGCCACGTAAGGGTATAGCGCGGATCACGAACCGCACTATACCTTTACTCCCGACATAATTTTATATAGCGCGGGGCAGGTACCGCGACATACCTTTACTCTGATATAATTTTATATAGCGCTGATCAGGTACCGCGTTTTGTATAACTTCGCTCGCTATAAATACCATTCTCCGCCGGTTAATTTCTCACATCTCTCCTCTCAACTTATAAATTAATACAATAATTCCGTCAATGAGTCAATAATTCTGACAATCTTCTCATATTTTATTTAGAAGTTCATGCGATTTTTCGTTATAAGGTAATTTTGTTATAATTTTTATTATATTTATTGTTTATTATGATTATTTGAAAAAAATATTATACTAATTATTTTCAATTAATTTTTGTGTTTGTAAAATTGGAAAGCGGGAGCATACGACGAAATAGTTTTGCGGTGCAGGTAATAATATTAAATTATATTATTTAATTTATTTACGTTGATGTGTAAAAATTTTATTGTGTTATATGTTCGTTCATATATAATTTATTAAATCAGGTTTGTTTCATTTATTTTTTTTGCAGATTTAATAGTGTTACACTTTTAAACTCAAATAATGGTGCGACTTTCAGTTATTGTTTATTATGATGGTGAAATTCGAGAAGATGAAACCGGCGTTGTTTTCATATCAAATGAGCGTGTTAAAATATCATTCAAGAGAAACATAACTCTTGAGGAGCTGATAACGAAGATTTCGAGGAAGATTCATGTTGGAAGTAGTAGAAGAGTGTCGTCGTTGCAGTATAGATTTCCAACATCATTGTTTTCATTAACTTATACAGCGTTTGAACTTTCGAATAATGATGATGTTGAAATGATGGTTGAAGCTCAAAGTAATTATTCAGACGCCGCTATTGAGATGTATGCACATTTTGTTCAAGTGCGAGCTGTTCGGGGTCAATCATTAAGCTCCCAATATGGGCTGACTGAACAAGTTGATCAAGTTGACAGCCCAACGACAGTAATGTGTAATGATTTTAATGCCATAATGGGGAGACATTCATCCGCAACTCCTTACGATATGTACCGAGGTAGGTTCACGAACAATCCGTATGGAAACATCGCGTCAAGTTCAAGGGGAAGTCATTCATCTGCAAATCCCTTTGACCTTAATATGGAGATGCCATCGACGCAACCATCTGTGCAGTTTCCATTTGAAGCGATGGCTTCAAGCTCTAGGGGGAAGCAGTTTCCATAATGATCGAGTTCTTCACGATCGATTCCAATTCTACCGGGTTTTTTGGAGTTACCCACAGTGCGTTAATGCTGTCAAATACTGCAAGCTTGTGGTCCAGATCGACGGAACTTTCTTGTATGGAAAATACAAGCAAGTTTTATTATTGACAGTTGTCCAAGATGGCAATCGCAACATTCTTCCAGTTGCTTTTGCTCTTGTCGAAGGAGAAAATACAGCTTCTTGGGCTTTTTTCCTCCGAAATTTACGGGCACATGTTATCACGAGGGAAAACATCTGTGTCATTTCAGATCGCGGAACTGAGATCAAAGCAGCAATTGAGTCTTTGGGTCCAATGTGGCAACCACCCTTTGTCCAACATAGGTATTGTCTTCGACACATTGCCACGAACTACCATGTACAAGAAGAATGATGAGCGTCAATTAATTGTACGCATGGGTAAGTGAAAGTTAGCAAGTTTGTTTTCTTTCGATCGTTTTAATTTTACAAAGACAGTAAGTTATACATTTTTTGATTAGGTTACGAACTACTTCCTCGAACGTTTGAATCAATGTTTCAAGAGTTGCGGGCGAAGAACGAGGAATGATATGATTACATCAGCCTCATCGATAAAGAAATGTGGACGAACGCATATGATGGTGGATATCGATATGGACACATGACGACCAACTTGGCAGAGGCAATCAATTCAACCTTAAAGGGTGCACGTCACTTACCAGTAGCGGCTTTGGTAAAGACTATATATTTTCGTTTGGGGGCGCTTTTTGCGAAGCTCGGGGGACAAGCTCAAACTTGGATGCAAGGCGGTCATGTCTATCACCCTAAATTAGTTACAGATCTACAGAAAATTTTTTTTGCATCAAATGGAATGTCTGTAACAAGCTTCTCTAGAAGGCATGAAATGTTTCGTGTCACAGAGTTGCCGCGACCTCTTCAAGGGATTGAAGCTGTATCGTTAAGAGTAAATCTAAGGGACAGAACGTGCGACTGCGGGTTTTTTCAAGCTCTGAAGTATCCATGCTCTCATGTGATAGCAACTTGCTCGCATACACGTCAAGACTATAACCATTTTGTGGATCTCGTATACCTACTATCTGAAGTTTTTAAGGTATACGAATTTGAGTTTCCCCCCATAGGTAATGACAAAGACCTTGATGAGGTTCAATATTGGCTTCCGATTGTACCAAATCCGAGTTTATTGAGGGAGCGTGGTCGTCCAAAATCCAATCGAATTCATTGCGATATGGATATTAGAGAAAGATCTAGACAAGACAGAAGATGTGGGCATTGTAGAAACCCATGACATATTAGAAAAACATGTCCACTTCTGTTGTCATCAAGTAACAATTGATGAGGAAATGATGTATTTTATTGTCAAATAATAATTCTTCTACTTTAATTTGCATTTTACTTCAAGTTAATATCATTTGATAATCACCGATGAAGATTAAAAAAAAAACACAATCATTAAATTTTAACAAACTAATAACAATAAGTATTAAATGGTAAATGATAATCAAATTACAATAACTGATATTAAATGGTAATAAAAAAACGAACTGAAATACATTAAAAAATCCAACAAATTTAACAAAATAAAGTAAGTACTAAATGAGAAATAATAATAAAATTTACAATTTAACAAAATAAAGTAAATACAAATATAATAAAAAACAAAATCTATCGATGCCTGCGACGCGAATGTGTTCCGCAGGGCGGTGGCTATCGGTCTCGAGGAGGATTTCTTCGTATCACTGGTTTTGACTCCTCGCTGTCATCATCATCACCATCATCGTCGTCGTCGTCTTCTTGCGCAGGTACATGAGGAGCTGATTGTAACATCCCAAAATACGGGTAAGTGACCAAAATTGTAAAATTTCATAATATGGTGATTAAAGTATAATAGTTTAATAGTTTAATGATTTGTTCAGAAATATTTCCTAAAAGTTTATTGTAATTATCTAAAGAGTTAAAGGGCAAATTGGTCATTAGACTTGAAAATATAATTAAAATGATATATATATATGGATAAGGATGGAGAGTTTCCAGAAAAATCTATTCTCTCTTTTCCTTCTTCATTTTCTCTTCACGTGTGAAGCCAAGCAAAAGGTAAGTTTTCTCTTGAGTTGATTATGTGCTGAAATTTAAGTTTAGTTTTGATTATTAGATGCTAAGTAAGATTAAGGAAGGATTAATTTGCTTTAAAACAACAAAATGAAGAGTTTATGAGGATTTAAAGATTAGGAGTTTTGGAATGAAATATTGAAATAAAGTGTATATTGAGAATTAAAAGGTGAATTTGACTTGTAATCAAGTTAATTAAGGGATAGGAAGTGTTAGAATAGGAATTTGAACATGTTGCAAAACTAGTAGAATTTTTGTAATTACATAGGGATGACTATATTTGAAGTTAAAGAAGTGATTATGGAATAGAAATAAGTTTAAGTATGTGTATTAAAGTTAGGAGTATTAAAGGAAGTGAAATAGGAAGGTTTGAGTTGAAAATTGATGATTTTCGAGCTTAGAATGCAATTTCTGGGTAGAGGGAACCGATACCCTATGAATGGGAATCGATTCCCCTTCTTGAACGAAAAATTTCCAGAATGTTAAGGGGGTACCGATTCCCCTTGGGGGGGGTATCGATTCCCCCCTAAATAAAATTTCAGAATTCGATTTATTAAATCGGTTTAAGTTATTAACATCAAGTTTAAAGTTTAGGCTTCTGATAGTTGTTTTGAAATGATATATTTATGTAGATATTGAGCCTAAACAAGTCCCGGAATAATCGAATCAAAGCAAGGCTAAGGTGAGTGCAATTTAAATTGTACTTATGTGATTGATCAAACATTGGCTTGCGATGAGTCAATGATAGAGTTACTATGGTAAGAAGTAACTTATATAATGTTATGTGATTACTCTGTATGCATTAGTACATAGAAATGGATGTTATGTTTATATGTTGCATGATTTACATGCTTACATGAAAATGCAACATATGATATTAGATATGTGTTTACACATACATTTGGTATGTGATAAGAAGAGAATGAACATGTGATTATGAGATCAAGGATTACACGTATATGTGATACGTGACTGAAAAGAAACGGTATGTGTTTATAAGAGTAAGAATATGAATAAGTATGTGAACGGTCATAAATGATAATGCCCATGTTATGTGATATGAGAGCTAGGGGTATAGTTGGCATGCCAAGGGTCGAGGGTTACCTATGTTCTTCGGGACATATGGACTGTTTACCTATGTTCTTCGGGACATGGACTGTTTACCTATGTTCTTCGGGACATATGGACTGTTTACCTATGTTCTTCGGGACATATGGACTGTTTACCTATGTTCTTCGGGACATATGGACTGTTTACCTAGGTTCTTCGGAATCTATGGACTGGTCCTTCGGGACATTGATCGAGCTGTTGTGACAGCATAGTGGTGCACAACCTCAATGTA